CCACGGGAGAATGAGATGTGGTGAAAGGCTTTACTTGCATGGAGTTACATTCCCCATGTCCCTTAACCCAGTCCTGAAAGAGGGGCAGCTGGGATTCCAGTAAAGCCAAAAGGAGGGCCAGTGTCCAGAGCTTTCGTTCCATGTTGCAGCCGGGTCTAGTTCAGCATTCAGGCCAATTAAAGTCCATCAGTCCATTGTGTGGGTCCCATGTGGCTCATGGCGAATGCAGAGGAGCGTGCCCTGTGCGGCAAGAGCCAAGAGCATATGCTCCTTTGTCTAGGCCAGGGGTCCTCAAACTTTTTAAACAGGGGGCCAGTTCACTGTTCCTCAGACCGTTGGAGGGCCGGACTATAGTTTAAAAAAAAACTATGAACAAATTCCTATGCACACTGCACATATCTTATTTTGAAGTAAAAAAACAAAACGGGAACAAATACAATATTTGTATTTGCATGTGGCCCGCGGGCTGTAGTTGAGGATCCCTGGTCTAGGCGTTTAAATATCAAGGTTTGGCACCCTTGAAGTGACCGTGTCCAGTCCCTTCCCCCATTGATCAGTGGGGAGTGTTAAATTAGCAAAGCTGTTTAAATGGCATGCCTATATCATCTAGTCTTTCCTTTACTCCTTTCCTGCTAAAAAAATAGGCAGATTATTGCAATGTTATCAGTAACACTAGCTATAAAGCATGATACATTAAGCTATAGCCATCCCAATTTTATTGGCTTGGGGAAGACCTTTTATTTTTCATTCTTTTTTGAGTTCAACATCTCACCGCAATCTGGCCTAAAGTGGTCTCAAGACAGTAGAAGCTTTTCCTCAGACTCTGACAAATAAAACTTCCAATAAAAGGTTAAGTTTATTGCTCTAAAATTATGCCACTAGTCTGAAGCCACATTACAGGTGCCACATTGACCGTAGTGGAAACAATAGCTCTTCTGGTAAACTCCTTTCAGCAGAAAAACACTGTGGAGGGAAAAAATAAAAGTATGGGTGGGCCTTTGTTGAGGTCATTGTTCCCAATTAATCCAGAATTCATTTGCCTCACAAAGCACTAATTGACGTGTGCTTTCTGAATAGGCTGTGAAGACAAGAATAAAAGGGATTGGTACCAATTGTGAAAATAAGGCTTGTGTCCCTTTAGGAATAAGCCAAAAGGTCACACTGTAAGCATGCACTTAGATAATTCTGGCAACTACAATTCACCTTTTAGAAGTTAACTTTGATTTTATTTTTTCAAAGAATATATCTCAACAGGATTAAAATATTTAACTCCCACCCCCAAAAATCTGTCTGCTTTCCATCTACCTACTGTCTGTCTTTAGTGCCCTCTGCTGGAAGCACGTAGCATGTATATTTATTATACCTCAGACCTTGCTATTTAGAGAAATATAAGAGATAATGCTAGAATAGATAAATATGTTTTCTTGGCATAGCTTTGCATGTTTTCGCCAGTCTTGGTAGAGCAATAGGCTCCCAGCAATTTTTTTGTTGTTGTTGTTCAGAACTTATAATGTAACCAACACAGTTACATCATTTGACGAGATAGACAAAATAACATTAACAAAAAAACTGATAATACCTGAAATGAGGAGAAACCTACTAATAGAATGCATTCATTAGAAGGTATGAATGACCTGGAAGTTTATACATTTGTTTTTCCCTTTATTTACTTACTTAGTTCACTTATGTATAGTTTATCTTTTTCCAGAAAGGATGTTAGTCTATGTGAACACAAAATGCTTACTGCTAGTGAATGGCCGAAATTTTAAATGGAGTGTTTCTTGCTTATATTTGTCAAGCCCCCACCAGTCTGAGAACAGATGAGCTATTCAGATTGAAGGCAGCTTATCTGTGAAGCTGGGTCTCTGGCTGTTATATGATCTCAAAATCAATCTTAAGAAAGTACAGGCGGTTTGACAGGATAGCTGTAATGAACAGAGAGCACTGTTGTTTTCAGAAATAAGACAAGATTAAAGAGCAATACTACTTGAAGATCTCGAGTAGCATATTCCGTAGATCTTGAAATTCTGTATTGAGTTTCACTGGTGCAAAACAGTCTGTTCCTTGTGAGAGAATTTCCACCCACTAAGTCATGGCAGTTTGAGATTAACTTGGAGAGCTCAGGGTTTATGGTTTAAAATTGGACCTGGCTAGCGGTACCTAACATGCTATTTCCCACTTAAGTACTTTTGAAAAGTGACAAAACCTCACAAAAACGGAAAAATAGAACTGAAGTCTCCCTTTGGCAAGAATCTAGAAAAACTTTTTACTGCCTTTATAGGGGCAAGAGACTGTTAGGCCTACCTATTAGCAGCCAACTGGAAATTAGGTAGGAAAACACTTTTAATACCCTTCTAATGCTGGTGCAACTGTTACCGGCAATTGAACCTCGGTTCAGCAACCTCGGTACTTGAGTTCTGGCTAAGAAAGAATCCAGAACCAAGACAAATACAAGGGATCGAGGGGGTTGGGGAGGCAAAGGGAGAGGGAGCACCTTGGGGAAAGAAGGGGCTGGGCAAAGGCGAGGGGTGTTCAAGGGAGACCAAGAGCAAGTGCTGAGTCCCTTGTCTTGAGGGTATTTATCTGGAGACCCCAAGGGAGGATCTCAACAGAATATACATCAGCTTCCTGGGTGTGTCCCTGTCCTTTCAGGGTTGTGGTCTCTACTGATGGGTACCTGCCAGATCTACCACAGGTTAGGGGAGGTCCACACTGCAAGACCAGTGATATGAAAGGTCAGGGGTCTGTACCACATGGCGAGCTTTATGCTAGCGGGGGAAAGGTCACCCTGGGGGTGAGGTTCCACCCTACAATTGTCCATTGCTAGGCACCTTTGGGTATCTGGCCAAAGGTGCTAATGCTTGTATAACTGCCTACTACACCATTATCATCTTATTAATATTAAAAAAATAAAGCAAGATTTATACTAGTTAGAAAATTGAAGGTTTAGCAATAGTGGAATAGTATTTGAACCTAGAGAAAAATCATTGGTGGCTGCCAGATATGTTGTTTTTCAGAGCCTAAAACCCAGTCCCAAGTCCAGTATAAGGAGCCCCTTAAAGGACCACTTCTCTGTTTAGCTCATGGTCTGACACCTGGTAGTCAAGCCTCATTTTTCTCTCTTTTCCAGGAGTTCTCTAAACATGTCTTGGTCTCCTTAAAGGCCAAAGCTCAAGTCTTAAAGGCCCTGGGTAGGAAGGAGTTCCCTCTTCCTTCCATGCTAAGGCCTTTTCCTCAAGCCTTCCCTTCATATCCCAGAATCTGCCTTTCCCTGAGCCAGGGGCACAGTCACTGTCTTCACAGAAGTCCATCCCAGACACCCTCAAAAGATGCGGCCTGCCCTGGCTGTTTTGGCTCAGTGGATAGAGCATTGGCCTTCGGACTCAAGGGTCCCAGGTTCGATTCCGGTCAAGGGCATATACCTTAGTTGCGGGCACATCCCCAGGGGGGAATGTGCAGGAGGCAGCTGATCAATGTTTCTCTCTCATCGATGTTAATAACTCTCTATTCCTCTCCCTTCCTCTCTGTAAAAAAATTAATAAAAAATATTTTAAAAAATAGATGCGGCCTTCTGTGATCTCAAAGGGACAACTTCATCAGAGCACAATAGAACAACAGCAACACAAAGATACATGTGCATGTGTATCCTTACATTGTTCCATTCTAAATTATAAAGAGTAAACAGAGCCTTTGATGTTTACCATTTCTCTAAGTGTGGGTGGCTCAGTCTTCATACATGAGCTCCTCCAACAGTATCAGTTAGGTTGGCCCTTCACCTGCCCAGGTCCTTTACTGTAAGACCTTTCCAAGAAGAAAGCTTCTCCCAGGCATCTGGGCTGGGAGTGGGAGCTCATCCCTGGAATGATGAAGGTGGGAGAATGACCTGCCCTCCTCTTACTCCTGCCTTTGCCCTATGTAGAAGGTCATCAGCTTTTCATCCAGTATATGCTATGTCTCTATATGTTCTCAGATGAAGTAGGTATCCTTATACATAAGGATAAAGATTTTTTTTAATCCTGTAGGCATCCAGGTAGGATATTTTCCTTTACAAAGTAAAAGTGATCAGCCTCGCCCTAAATTTCTTTGCAACACCGAATTCCAAACTGGAATAATATAGGTAGCTGATCAAAGAGTGTATTTATACTCATCAAGATATCATTTACATAAAAAGTCAAAGATACTCTCTGATATACAATGGTTATAAAAAAGATTACAATCATGGATTCTTTTTTAATTATATGTTTATTGATTTCAGAGAGGAAGGGAGAGGGAGAGAGAGATAGAAACATCAATGATGAGAGAGAATTGTTGATCAGCTGCCTCCTGCACGCCCCATAGTGGGGATCAAACCCACAACCCAGGCATGTACCCTGACCTGGAATTGAACTGTGACCTCCTGGTTCATAGGTTGATGCCCAACCACTTAGCAACACCAGCCAGGCTGCTCATGGATTCTTAAAAAACATACAAATACACACATCAACTGTGCAAAGAAAAAAGCGAGAAGGAAACAGGTATTTGCAGTGGTTACTTTAGTGGTTTCTGTTCTGCTCCTTTGTGATTTTTTATATTTTCTAAAATCCTCTTAATGAGATTCATTGCTATTTTAATCACTGAAAAGTAAAATAAGCATTGGGAAAACTCAAAGATTATCTAAAAATTATACAACATCTGCAAGGGACAAAATATGCTAGGAACCCTGTTCCCAGCCAATATACTGAACTGAACATAGAGAATAGAACAAGGAGTTTTCTTTTTCATAAAATGCCATCTCTTGCTTTAACTATATAAACACTATGTAAAATACTATATAAGTATATAAATACAGTATTTGCCAGTGTTTCACATTAAAGTGAAAAGCATGATGTGCAGAACAAATAAAGCTAATTAATTAAAATATGATTTTTAATCTTTTGAAAGGCTGAGGACAATCAGACCACTTTTATTTTTCCTCTGAACTTAGCATTTCCATCTAAGCTCTCTTCTTGGTTTATTAATAGGTCGAGCAATATCATACTGTCATTTTCCATGGCCCAGAAGGAAGCTTGCAAGATTACATAGTACATCAGCTTGCACTCTGCATGAAGGTATTGATGACTTGCAGACCCTCTCCCTTTTTTGAAAACTTGAATGTGTGTAGAACTAACCACTCTGTTCCCTTGCCACAGCACAGAGAGATGGCTGCAGGATTCTCTTGTGAGATAGTGAGAGCTGAAGTGGATGCTGACTTCTCTAAGGAGCAGCTAGTAGACCTGTTCATCAGTAGCGGTAAGACCACTTCAGCAAACTGAATTATGATAACCAAAGGGCTTGCTCTTCAATGACGCCATTAAAAGGAAATGAACTTTGTTGCTTGGGGATACATTTAAGTCAACTTTTCAATTATTCAGGGGCCCTAGTTGGTTTGCCTCAGTGGATAGAGCGTCGGCCTGTGGACCAAAGGGTCCTGGGTTCGATTCCAGTCAAGGGCACGTACCTCAGTTGCAGGCTCCCCCCCACCCGGCCTAGGCCCTGATCCTGATCGGGGTGTGTGCAGGAGGCAACCAATCAATGTGTCTCTCTCACATCGATATTTCTCTCTGTCTTTCCCTCTCTTCCATTCTCTCTAAAAATTGATGGAAAATATCCTCAAGATAAGGATTTAAAAAAAAAGCATCTATGGCAGCGGTTCTCAACCTGTGGGTCGAGACCCCTTTGGCAGTCGAATGACCCTTTCACAGGGGTTGCCTAAGACCATCCTGCATATCAGATATTTACATTACGATTCATAACAGTAGCAACATTACAGTTATGAAGTAGCAACGAAAATAATTTTATGGTTGGGTCACAACATGAGGAACTGTATTTAAAGGGCCAGAAGGTTGAGAACCACTGATCTATGGGATGAAAATTGGAAACTCAGATGAATATTCGCAAAAAAATATTTTTGTGTATATATATATTATATCATTGCACTTATTGTACTTCCTGCATTGTCTTCCCTTCTTTTTCTTATCTTTTGTTTATAACTCATCTGATGTGAGTGCTGTATTACTGGCACCAGAGGTATACCAAGGGAGGAGGTGGTGGGAGCAGTCCGCCCTAGTGGGACTGAGAATGGCATCACTGCTGCTGTTTAGAATTGCATAGTGATCATGAAAAACACATCAGTTATGGTAATTTATTTTATTTATAAATTTTCTACAACCAAAACACCCTTTACCGCTGTACCAGGGGTGAACTGCTTTCTCCACGTCACCTTTAGTAAGCTATTGACCATGACTTTGCTAAACACATTGCGTATATTTCATCTCTGTGACAGCATATGCACGTAGGTATAATTCTCTTCATTTCAAAGGTGGGGAAACAGGCACAGAGAAGTTCAGTAACTTGCCACAACTACACAGTGGCAGAACCAGGATTAAATGTGTTTATTAATACAACATTTTCATGAAGTTCTATATTAGGTTTCAGAGCTTAAGACGCTAAGCTTCACCACAGGTGCAATTAGCATAGTCCTGCATAGCATAGCATGTCTAGTGACTATGGCACAAAACTGAAAGAACCAGACTCCAGTCTCCACTCGATTAGAGCTACAGAGAGCCCTGGGGAGCAGGTGATGGAGGGAAGCAGTTGCAAAATCCATGGAGGGAGCTTTGAAAAGCAAATTCACATCTCCCTTTTGGAGGAGGGGTGCTTTTCATCTTTGGGTGAGATCTGATGGTTAGGGCAACTGTTAACCATGCTTAGGAAGAAGGAAATAACCAACAGTTCCCAGATCAAGAAATAAAATTAAGCCGCAGCTGTGGGCATGAACCGAGGATTCCCAAACCTAGAAGCACATTGTGGGGACGAGAAAATCCCACTAGAATCTGAATGTTGCTGTGGTACCCAGCCTAGCCTTTGGTCAGAAACTAGTGAAAGTTAGCTACAGAAAGCTGTTTTCTCTGAAGATACTACTAATAATAGCTAACATTGATTAAGCTCTTCCTCTGGTAGGCCCTGATCTAAACAATCCTAATTTATAAACATGAATCATGAGAAAACAGGGTAAATACTTTGACCAAAAGATCTCACAGCTAGGACACAAAGGAGGAGTAGGACTCAAACCCAAGCATCTGACTCCTGAATCTTACCTTAATCAGTGCCAGGCACTATTCCTTAAAAACGCACCTGTGCCAACATGTCTGTTTCCCCCTTAGCTATGTAACAAAGGCCCCCTACATTTTTCAGCTTTGTCTTGTGTCATCTCAAAGTTAGAAGCTAAAGTCTTTTGTTATCTCCCTTTTAGATAGATAGCAACTACAGGCTGAATTCTGCTTAAGCTTAGCGAGCTAAAAACATAGGAGAGCAGTGAATTAGGTCATGAGGTGACCTCAGGTGGATGGCTCAGCATTTCTAAATCTCTGGGGAGCATCTTCTTAAAAAGAGCTCCTCTTCTTGGCTTCCAAATTTGCTGAGTGGCGCAAGTCTTTTGGCCCCTCACACTTGAAACTCAGGTTTTATTGACAAGCTTGAAAACCTAAATGACCCCAAGTGCCAACAAGCCACAGGAAGGGGTGAACTGACTGGGTGGGGCTAGGGGAGGAGGAGGGACATCTCCATCTACCTGAGGGCAGCTCTCAGCTCCAGCAGCTTGTTGCTGGCAGAAGTGTAGCGTCAGTGTCCTGAAATCTTATAATTTTTAGGAAAAAGCCGGAAGTCTAGGTATTCATGTAAAAATGTAGGGTTTCTTTCTTTCAATGTTGTCAACTATTTCAATTTTTTCTTAATATATTTTTATTGGTTTCAGAGAAGAAGGGAGAGGGAGAGAGAGATAGAAACATCAATGATGAGAATCACTGATTGGCTGCCTCCTGCACGCCCCCTACTGGGGATCGATCCTGCAACATAGGCATGTGCCCTCACTGGGAATGGAATCAGCGACCTCCTAGATCATAGGTCAATGCTCAAGCACTGAACCACACAGGCTGGGCTCAACTATTTCAATTTTTAAAGCAATATGAGGGCCACATAGAACCCCATGGTCTTCTCATTCATGGACCCCTCATCCCTCTCCCATAGCCAGTCCATGGTTATATCTTGCCAAGTTGGCCTCAATGCCCATCCCCAGTGACATCATCTTACCTTTGCCTCCTTTCCTACATCTCGTCTTCTTTTCTGTAAATGGCTGTCTGCCTACTGCTTCTCTTCCCTGAACGCCCCTCAGAGACCACCAGACCCTAAGTAAAAGCTCTCTGTGGTTCTTGCCTCCCAAGTTGCTTATTTGAACTTTATTTTTTTATCTAGATATAACATTGTGTATGATTATGGTGTATAATGTAATGCATTGATTTGCAAAACGATTACTACCATAGCATTTGCTAATACCGCCACCATGTCATATAATTACCCTTTTTTTGTGTGGTGAGAACATATTAGTTTACCCTTTGAGCAACTTTCAAATATATAATATGTTGTTAACCATAGGCACCATGCTATACATTAGATCCTCAAAATGTATTCATTTTATATTTGAAAAGTTTGTACCTTTGACCAACATCTCCTCATTTCCCCCAACACTCCCCAGGTGCTGCCAACCACCACTCTACTCTGTTTCTCTGAGTTTGGCTTTTTTAGATTCCACATATGTGATATCATACAGTACTTGTCTTTGTCTCACTTATCTCACTTAGCATAATGCCCTCCAGGTTCATCCATGTCATCACAAATGGCAGGATTTTCTTCTTACTTTATGGCTGAATAATATTCCTCTGTGTGTGTGTGTGTGTTTAATTTTCTGTTGTTTCCATGTCTTGGTTATTGTAAATGATGCTGCAGTGAACAAGGGGGTGCAGATATCTCTTCAAGATCCTGATTTAATTTCCTTTGGATATATACCCAGAAGTAGAATTGCTGGGTCATATGGTAGTTCTATTTTGAATTTTTTGAGGACCTCCATACTGTTTTCCATAGTAGCCACATGAATTTCTATCAACAGTGCACAAGGCTTCCCATTTGTCCACATTCTTGCCAACATTTGCCTCTTCTCTTTTTTATAATAGCTAGCTATTCCGACAGGCATGAAGCAAGATCTCATTGTGATTGTGATTTGCATTTTTCTGAAGATTAGTAATGTTGACTTTTCATGTACCTGTTGGCCATTTGTAAGTCTTCTTTGGAATATCTGACTTTTTAATAGATGTCTATGCTCCAGTAAAATATGGTGTTTACTCCTTACACGTTTTTTGTTTTTCCACTCTCCGTGTCTTTGTTCAAGCTACAGTTTTCATCTAGAATTTTAGAGTGAACATACAACCCCAGCACACACTGCAGTTAACACATGGCAGGTACTATGCAGAGTATTATATATACCAGTGATGGTGAACCTATGACACGCGTGTCAGAGGTGACACGCGAACTCATTTTTTTGGTTGATTTTTCTTTGTTAAATGGCATTTAAATATATAAAATAATTATCAAAAATATAAGTCTTTGTTTTACTATGGTTGCAAATATCAAAACATTTCTATATGTGACACGGCACCAGAGTTAAGTTAGGGTTTTTCAAAATGCTGACACGCCGAGCTCAAAAGGTTCGCCATCACTAATATATACAGTACTGATTAAAATAGATATGGTCTCTGCCCTTCTGGAAATGACAGGAAAAGTCCCTGTTAAAATGTCTAAGGACATCTCGAATGAAAGCTTACCTGATCCCTCCAGTATGACAACTCCCTTTAATGAACAGTAGTAGGCTCTGTTTATACATCTGGGCCCCATCTAACTATAGGTCAAGGCACTGGGGGTATTATTTGGGCTTTTGCCTTGGCCCAAACACATATTATATTGTAAACTCCTTGAAGGCTAGTCATGTAGCTTTTTTTTAAAACTTTACCTTGCACACTTATTGAATTCTTATGGAGAATAAATGGGTGAATCTCCTAATATGGGAAATAGCATGGTCAAAGAAAAAGAAAATGCTAGTCATATTCAGGTGCAGCAATTAGAAGAACTTGCTTGGAGTGGAGGCAGAAAGAAGTAAGATTAGAGAGTATAGGAGTTGATCAGGGAGTAGTTGATGATAGGGCATAAAAATAAAGTTAGATTTGAAAATGGCATATTTTTTAAATTTTATTTTATTTTTAATTGAGATATAACATTAATTTCAGGTATATAACATTTCAGTATTTGTATATATTGCAAAGTAAACACAACAATAAATGTAGTTAGTTAACATCCATCACCATACATAGTTTAAAAATTTTTTTCTTGTAATGAGAACTTTTAAAATCTACTTTCTTAGCAAC